TTCTCCTCCTCTTAGTTAGTTCCTTCTTTTTTTTTTTTTTTTTATCGAGATAGAATAAGATTGAAAGCGATTATCGATAATTAATACCCAAAAGCCAACGATAATGAAAAATTGGTCGATTCTTGCGTCTATAGGAGAGAATTATATCCTCCTCCATATACTATATTTCCCCGTTTTCGGTGCTCTTGGAAACCACAAGATGTTATTGATTTTTATACATATCCCCGGTGGGTGTGGGTGGGTAGACGTCCAATTTTCGGTGTGTACGTACGTTTGTGTGTTTGCGTACGAGAGTAGGGGCTAGCTGTGTGTCATTTACTCATTGGTAGTCGTTGGTACGAGAAAGATGGAAACGGTTGCCTTCCGCCTTCCCTTTTCAAACCGTTGACTCCGGCCATCAACCAAAAGGAAAACTTCGATATAGCGCAAGCGTTTCACGTCTTCGGATCGCGCTCTCCCTCTCGCTGAAAATTGACCAACCCGCTTTTCCTTTCGTTTGCCCATAAAATATTATCCCTTGCCACGCTCACGAAGAGAAACTCTTTCTCTCTCTCTTTCTCTCTCTCTCTCTCTCTCTCTCTCTTTTGTTTTTTTCACCCCTCTTTATCTTTTCACCTTCCCTCTCCAACGCCACGTTGTTGAGAGTGCGGTGGATAAAAAAAAAAAAAGGGGAGAGAAAAGAAAAAAAAAGAGAAGAAAAGAAAAAAATTGGAAACTGGAAAAGAAATCGGATACGGTTGTGTTTGACTTATACTTTTTTGTTCGATAAAATAACAAAAGTGCGGGAAACGCGGGAGCAATTTGTCACGTTTAATTTGTTGGGACACCCTTTTGCACCGTGTTGAAAAACTCGTAGGAGCGGCACCTTTTAAAATACGGAACGATGAAATTGATCGATTTGACGGACACTGACGTTTCAGTGAATTGCATTATACAAGTTCGTGTCGTGCAAAGATGGAACGGTAAAAATTTAATGGGAACGTTATAAAACGGGACAGTTTTATATAACGAATACGTGAATAAGAAACGAAAGGAAACGAAAATCATAAGAAGCATAAAATTAAAGAAATTAAAGATACTCTTTATTTGTGCATACCGATCATGTGTGTATAAATTATAATAAATAAAAAGGAAATTAATGTACAAAATAATACAAATAATACAAATAAAGAAATAACAAAGGAAAAACTTTCTTATTATTCGTAGTCTTATATAAAAATATACGATCGATCTTGTATATCAATAAACCATTCGAGGTTAGTCATATCATGTGTGTATATATATATTATATATTCTATAAATATATATATATATATGATTCTTCGACTGCGTCATATGACTAGAACAGTTTTTGGAATTTTTGTAAATTCTGTCGAAAATGACTAGATGGACTAAAAATAATTTGCCTAGATGCGCGGAACACTTTACATGAAATGACACGCTTATCAAACACGTACTCTCATATATAATAATATAATACAGATCATGTATGTATATATATATATTTATATTTATATTTATATCATCTTTTTTCATCTTTAANTTATATATTATATATACATATGTTAAATATATTTTTTTTCCCATGTTTCTATCATTTTGATTTAAACGGGTAAAATTTGATTTTGCGCTCAATTACGTTAGTCAAGGCAATACTCGTTTCGGGAAACACACCGCTTGCAGTGAAATTAGATGATCCCCGACGATTTCCTAGGATCGTCATGATTTTTATTTCGTACAACGTTCTCGACAACGATCCGTGAATGCCCGTGAATCGTTATTGAAAACGAAAATCAGGGAAGGAGGAAAGAAGAACGCTTTGTGCGGGGATCGTGCGATATTCTATTTTATCGTTGCACTTGGAGTCATTCGTACGTGCGGCGAAATAAATTGCGACCAGCGAAAAACCATGACGCCCCCGGCGTTGCTCGATTTATTATCGACTGCGAGTCGTTACAATAATTAAAATCTACGACCCTTGGCGTTGCCGCGCACGGGCCATTAAGCGCACAATACGCGCACTTCCATGGGATGCAATTAAGAGGGTACCGATTTACATGGACGCACGCGTTTTGCATGTCACCGTTGTTCGTCCGTGGGGCGAGAAAAATGGACAGGGTGAGAGGGGAGGGACGGGGATACGCGCTCTCCACCCTCTGCCCCCTCGCCTCGCCTCCTTTCTCTCGGACTTTTTCGGGAAAATCCCGGCCAAGGTCGCGACCTTTTTCCTCTCACCGACCTTCGTACGAGGGGACCAGATGTGGGACCGTTTGCCCATACCCAAACGTCGCCGTCTCGACAATGCCCGCTAAAAATTCCCTTCCCCCCCCGACCGAAAATTTCTCTCCTTCCTTTCTCCTCTCCTTCCCTGACCGCCGCCTCTCCATCTCATTTCCTCCTCTACAACAACATTTCTCTCTCCCTCTCCCTCTCTTTCTCTCTCTCTCAATAGATTCGTAATGGCCGATTCCTCCATCTCCCCTAAAATATGTTAATGCACGCGTGCGCGCATACTAATTCGGACGACGAATTTTCGCCGAAAAAGCCGGACGTGTCCTATTAAATGACGCGGTTCTCGAATTTCAGCTGTCCCGGGGAAATTTTTATGGGTGAGCGAGTGAGACAAAGGTCGGTCGGATACAGAGAGAGAGAGAGAGAGAGAGAGAGAGAGACCCGTCGTTTTTGCTTCCGATACGCTATAAATCCCGATCGCGCCCGGCCCGATGATCATTCATTGGATCGCGTCCATGCTACCTTTTGTTCGCATCGATACTCGACGGATGCTCGTTTCGATGTCGTCACGATCGATAAGGTGCCCCGTTTCGAAACGCCACTACGAATTTGCGTGCGCGGGTTACGCTCGTTAAATAAACAGAAGGAAGTTGTCGAAACGAGCCGCTTCATTATTTCATAATCCAAGGTTAACATTGCGTGGGCGTGCATCGAGGGCGGAAACGTAACGCGCCTGTTTGTTCATCGATGGGACCCCACCGGTGCAAAGAACGCGTTTTGGCCGGCGAGTTAAGTTCGGAACGGCTGCACGCCTGGCTATCCACTGGTCACGCTGTAAAACCAGCTGTCTTTTACAATGTTTCGATCGAATGCTCGGTGACCGTTAACCGTGGAAAAATTGAAAATTTGGTTAAAAATAGAGATCGTTTGAACTTTTTGCATTCTTCTGTTCTCTCTCTCTCTCTCTCTCTCTCTCTCTCTCTCTCTTTTTATTTCCTTGGTTTTTGAATTCTCTGTATGTATTGGATTTTTATATCTCGTTTTTTTTTTTCTTTTCTTTTTAATACAGAATCGAAATTGAGAAGCGTTATAACCGGTGAGGTCGATCGCGAGATTGATAAGCGATTTTACACGGGCGAAAAAGAAAATGAAGAAGAGGAATCTGCCGTTACGAGATCGAGAGGATTATCGATGGTACGAATTGTTTTCTGCGGTATATACGGGACAACAGAAATAAATGACATCACGTGGACACTCGGATCGCGTCCAATTTCTATTCGATTCGATAGATATATACGGCGATAACGAAATTTTGATTCTCAGTTTCTTCAGCTGCAAGGCACGATGTTCGAACGTTATTTATTTCAGAGAGGAACTTTACGAACTTTTCGATGTCGTTTTGGACGACGTCGTTTCGTTATTTCTTTGTAAACGACTAGACTATGTAAAAACCTTACTGTTTAGATAGATAATAATCAGAGAGGCGTTTTAATTTAGTAGATTTAAAGAGATGGGTATCGTACAGTCGAGTACTCGTGGTGGTCGTTACATCCCTTCCAAAAAAGAAACGGGAAGAGACCGATTGGCGTATATTTGATATCCGCGGCTTGCGAAAATTATTATATCGATATATTTATTTTAATTCTATATGCAATGCGTTGGCTGTGTATACGATTGTACTTTTTGTTACGGGTTATACTGTGTCGACCCTGAGTTGATTGGCTTTCACTGCTCCTCGATACCTAAATATCGTAACCGTAGATTTAATCATGCTCGCCTCTAAATTACAGTAATTACTTAGCTTCTTTCTCGTCGTTTTTTTCTCATATTTTTTTTTTTTCTTTTTCTTCTTTTGCTTTATAGTCATATTCTTTTGTTCGTCGTTACCTTAACTCGTCTATTTATAAATACCTCTATAAATCTTCTCCCCCTACACTCTCTCTCAACTTTGACTATACGTATATATGTATATATATTTTTATATGTATATAAAATATTGACTAGTATGATCGCGAGAAACGAAAACCATCGATGTAACGATACGATTAAGCGGTATCGACGATTCTCGAACGTCGAGATGTCGTCGCGTATTCTTTCGTTTATATCTTGTATTTCGCTCGTAATTCCTGGACTTGAGCAAAAAAGAAAATTTACGGGATTACGAGAATAAAACGAAACGGAAAGGAGATTGTTGCTCTTAAATGATGATTAGACATCGTTTTCCTCGAAGATCGGTCGCGTTTAAAATAGGAACTTTTTTTCATCACCCGTTCGTGTCGGTTATACGATTATTATACTATGTACAATAAAAAAATGTTCCCGAATTGGAACAGTATATAACAACGTGGCTTTCAAACGCGGGATTCGTTTTATCATTCTGTATCTTAAAACGGGATCCAAAATATATATATATATGTGTGTCTGCAATATACATAGTTTTTTTAAAAAAACAATCATGGAACAAGCGAGAGGAAACGTATATGCGATTAATTTTTTTCGAACCGCGAAGAAAAGCGGAAGAAAATGAAAGGATCGTTTGACGTAAATATCCAGGAAATATTCGAACAGTGAATCGTTTACATATATATATATATATATATTAAAATGAATGGAACCCTCGACGAGCCACGTATATGAAAAATATATAAACTTTCCCTAACTATTTCCTTACACTTTACATAGGAACTAATAACACGTGCTCAAATCGCAGACGTAGAAACGAGTGGGTAATATCGAGGATATCGAATAAATACGAAGAAGGAAGAGTTTCAAGCTGGGCTCAGGGTGAAGGATGCGGTGAGCGCGTTGTTAATTCGCGATTTAACGGGCAAATAGACCAAAGCCGGGGCGAATCGTTTCTCCGAGCACGATTCCGAGCCGGCCTGCATCGCGTCCCGTTCCTCGATCAGAAACGGTTGCATGATCGTCTTCTCGGCGACCGAATTCATCGAATCCTGGGGCATCGCGTAACAAGCCGGCACCTTGTGCCTGTTCGCAACGTCCTTCAGAGTTCTGCTGAGCTCGGCGAGCACGCTGTCCGTAGGATCGCCGATCGTTTTGTGATCCTTCCTCACGTGCCTCTTTATCCTGTTCAAATTGGTCGTCGCGTATCCGCACTGTGCGCACTTGTACACACCCTGAGGAGTGACCTGGACCGTTGTCTCGTCCTGCCGTTTGCTCCTCGTCGGATCGGGAATGTTTTGATTGACAACCACTTGCGGGCTGTTTTCCTCCTTCGCCTCCAAATCGAATCTCTCTTTCCCCTCGTTCGTCAATTTCTCCGCGTCGAGACTTAGATTACCGAAGAGGGGGGGTTGAAAATGGGGGAGCAAGGTGGGGAATTGGTGGGACGCGAGTAGATGTTGATGCAACATCTCAGGCTGGTGAAACGCTTGAGAACAGATCGGGCATTGAAGCGACTTCTCCCCCTCCATGTTGTCCCGCCCGTGAGATCTCTCGTGAAGGAAGAGGAACGGTAGTACGGTGGTCGTGAAGTTGCAATAGGAACAACGGTAACTCTTCGATTGTTGATCTTCGGAGGACGATCCCAGGAGATTGGACAACACTTGATTACCCAAACCCGCGTAATCGGCGGCGGACTTGATTTGCTGCGAGATCTCGAACCCGTTTGGTATCTTCAAGTTCGAGCCCATCGGTTGACCGGCCTTCGACGTCACATTCGCCGCCCTGCTCCCCGACTTGGGGATCGTTTGATACTGTTGCTCCATCTCGCGCCACTTCTCGATACCTGTCTTCCCGTGATCGCCCATCAGATGAGCTTTCAGCCACTTTATACTGCGGAACCTTCTGCTGCAGATCGGGCAAACCTCCGTGAAATGAGTGAAATATCTGTGGGTCAAATCACCGAGTTGTTCCGGTTTCAAAGCACCGTCGTCCGCGTTCGCCGTTTCGTGGCTCTCCTGTTTCACCTGCGTGCTCGCCGTATTTTCATCGACTATGCCGTGGGTGTTGTGCTTGTGAACGCGTAAGAAGTACTTGCTGCACAGCTCTTTGTTGCAAATGTTGCATATCACGCCTCCTATCTGGGCCCCATTCTCGATCTCGATACCGTGCATCCTCTGCATGTGCGTCTTCATAAAATACTTATTGCATAATTCCTTGTTGCATATCTCGCAGTAGCTCGACGTAGGCGTCATCGACGTCACTTTCCTCTCGGCCGTCGGTGCCTGGCTCGTCGAGTTCGCGTTGGTAACGCTCGTCGCCGAGGTTGTCGCGACGATTGGTGGGACGGCACTCGAGATCGCCGCTTGATGCTCCTCGGCTACGTGTTTTCTCAGGCTATCCTGACTCGCGTACTCTTTGCCGCATAGGGTGGAAAACGCGGACGTCGCGGTTAAGGGCGACTTCTCTTGCGGCGAGGACGTCGAATCTTCGCCAATGGCGGCTCCGTGCTCCGTTATCGTATGAATATGCAAACCCGCTCTAGACTCGCATTCTTTTCCGCACACGTTGCACGATAATCCTTTCCCAGACTTGAGCCCGTTCAGTTGCAGAAGCATGGTCTGCAATTTTTGAAGATCCTCCGAGATGGAGTCGTTCCGCGGATCGTTGGCCGTGTCCAGCTCGCACTCTTGCCGGCCGGGCGACTCCTGCCCCTCGTGCATTTTCCGGGAATGCGCTCGGTACAGGTCGATCGTTTGGAAACGTATCCCGCAAGTTTTGCACTCGTAATCGTCGCCGCCACGCTCGTTCGACTCCGCGCCACCTCCACCCGCGTTATTCTCCCCCATGATTAAATTCAACGGGCTGGTCTGCACTTGGTGCCAACTTGGCAGCATCGCCGGATTATTGGGCGATCTTTCGTTATCCTGAACGATGATACCGTGCCTCTTCATTTTATGCGTTCGAAGGAAATACTTGTTACAGTACTCCTTACAGCATATCTCGCAGAACGCGTCCGGATTTATAACTCCCAAACGACGAAGCCGATCCGCGCTAAACCCGGAGTCGCGCGCCTGTTGAATCGATTGAGGGGATAGGTGTCTGGGCGCCGGAACGAACGTCGCATCCTCCTGCTCGATCCCGTACTCCTGCCTCAACAACGTCTCCATACCCATACTGTCTCTCGACGCCTCCCCCCTGTCCTCCTCGTTCTGCAACAAACCGATCTGCCCCTCCTGCGATTGATCCGACAACTCGGCGTGCATCTTCTGCTTGTGCTTACGAACCGACTCCTCGTTCTTGAACCGCTTCTGGCAAAGGTCGCACGCCACCGTCGGCGTGGGTGGCGTCGCGGGAAGTTCCAGTTTAACCACGCCACTCGGGAAGTTGACAGCGGCGGGGAACACGGGATTGCCCACCGGATTGCCACCGCCACCGCCACCAACGTTGTCCACGTTGCTCGGCCCAGGCGAATCCGCGTAGATACCGTGCTTGTTCGCCTTGTGCGTCTTGAGGAAATACTTGTTGCAGAATTCTTTGTTACACAGATCACAGTACGCGTCCGGATTGAAGATCCTCACCGGCGTTGGCCCTAAACCGGCACCTCTCGCGATCGAGCCGGAATCCGGGATGGGGAAGGCGGGCACGGGCAGATACTGCGCCAAGGCGCCGGGAAAACTGGTGAGGAGTTGGAGGTGATTGGGCAACGGTGGTATTTGGCCAGGTGGGGGGCCGGTGACGGGCCACGATTCCTCGTTCTGCGTCTGCATTTGCGCGTGCGATTGCACGTGTTGCCCGGTGGCCAGCCAATTTATCGCGAAATTCTTTACGCTAAGCAAATTAACGGGGTTCTCGGATTGGTCCAGTTGGTGAGACGGTTCTTGCTTGATCGGTTGATTCGGGGGGGATCTACTACTCGGGCATTGTTGTCGCGATATCCTATTCGCGGAACCGTGCTCGTTGTCCAGGTGAACGTTCAACGTTTCCTTTCTATCGAAAAACTGGCTACAGTATTGGCAACGGAATTCGTTATTCAGGTTCTCGTCCCTTATCGACGATTGACTCGGTATGGGTGATCGCGACGACAGCTTACCTTCGCTGTCCTCCTCCTCGTCCTCGTCCTCGTCCTCGTTCGACTCCTCGTGCACGCCGGGCATCAACGTCGACGAGAATCTCACGGGCGTCGATTGTTTTCGCCTCTTCTTCGGCCCCGTTGGATCCACGTCGAAGCGAAGACGTTTCCTGGCGTCGCGTTCTCCGCAACTCGATCCGTCGCTGTCCAATTCCGTCAAATCCGATATCGCCGTCTCGTGCGCCATCGTCGAGGACGTCTCAGCCAGTGGTCGACGCGCGACAGCAACGATCTTCTATCACCTCTATCGATTACTCGTCGCTCTGTCGAACAGAGATCGATATTTGTTATTCTTTCTTTCTCTTTTTCTTCGAAACTCAACTCGAACGAAATCTTTCTTTCGTTCGTGCGTGTATTTAGTAACTCGAACAAGAAAGGGGTAAAGAAAACGCGAGATTTTTGAATCATGTTTTTCAATATGGATGCCACGAATGGATAGAATATCGTAGATACGTACGGTCGGAAAATAGAATATCGGTTAACGAGCGATGGAAAGAGGAGTACGTACGAGTTGACTGAGGTGTTGCCTCGGCGAGACACCCTATACGCGAGTGGACACAGCCAGAAAAGGGAGACGTTTGGGGAACTCGGTATATGACTCATATCTACGCCCATGCTTTGGGGCTGAATTCAGAGGATAGTACGAATATGCATTTCAGAAGCTCCATAATTACTTATCGAGGTTGACAGACCCATGCCTCCTGTCACGAAATAATGGCCAGGTCATTGAACTGTGCCAGTTTCTGCTTATTAGTGAGAAAGACCGATATATATATACATATATATATATATAGGAAATCGAACAAAGATCGTGGAAAATGAGATTGAAATTCTTACCAGTGCGTGAATCGATCCGTCGTCGAAAGGATCGAGCGTCATCGGAAACGTCATCGTTCGTTGAAGCGTCTTCGTCTCATCCAATAAATACGTTCGAACGTAAATGAAACGATTTCGAAACAGAACAATTCCATTGAATATCATCGTATAGAACTTTATCGCGCATTTTTATCGAAAGAAAGGAATCGCGCGCGTTCAGTAAAAGCACTTTCTCGTTTCAACCACACACGTACGTAGCAGCACGTTTCAGTAAGGTGTACACGATCGTTTCGCCACTTTTCCTTTTAAGACGTGAAGAATGTTGGAAAGGCGTTATTGGCACGTGGCGTCAAGGAGGGTAGGTAAACCGAGGGTAGGTTACCTTGAGAATGGTGTTGCTCAAACGAGCCCTCCAAAGAACGAGCCACTCGATATAAATTTTACGATTTCCACGCAACTCGTCTCGAGCGGGCGAGGGGTCGGAGAGGAGAAGGGTATTCGTTCGATCGCGCTAAAACTGGCCGAAGGGAAGAAATTGGACCGAAGTTAGGAGATGAACGGGCCGAGGGAGACGAGCGATGAATTCTTGAAGGGGGAGGGGGCCGAAAGAAAGAAGGTACGGATGGTGGCGAGAATCGTCGACGAAAAAGATACTTTAAAGGATGTTGAAAAGGTGTTAATTTACGGGGTGTTCGCACGGGGTGTTACGCCTCTGTGGACTCTCCCAAGTTACTGTTAGGTGCAGTCACGGTGCCCCATGAAGGGCCTGTCGCATCGTTTTCGTCCCTACCACCTTTGGAGAGCCATCACACAAATATCCCCCACCACCGAGTTAACCGAGTATCGTTTGCCGCATTCCCCGGACAAATGATTTTCGAACCGCTTTTCGATCAGAGATTTAACTCTGATTCGATCGAATCAAAACGTTCACGTGATCAAAAATCTATTAAAGATTTCGATTTCGTCTCTAATTGTGTCGTTAGTTATTTCTTAATCGGCAATTTTTAAGTTTGGATTTTATTCTTTTTCTCATGGAAATTTGTTCACGATAGAAAAGTGGAATCGGTTATTTTATTACCCCGATATTGTTACTTCTTGCAATCGAGATTAGTGAATATTAGATGCTTATCCTCGATAGTCGTCTCGAGTGTTGATTACAAGAGGATCGATGCATACGTTGGACTTTCGAATGAAAGAGGGTCGTAGGGTCATTATTCGAAATTTGAACGGCCGCCTGTCAGCTTATAGAAATTGGATTACGCGGGGGTTGAAAAACAGAATTGGGAAGAGGGGCGGAGGGTTGCGAAGCAAAACCCGCATTTCTGCGTAACATTTGACGGATTTTGGAAAAATACGCGTAAATACGCCCGTATGGTATACTCGCCATGCTCCGCTATATCGTGGAAAATCCTCTGCACCGTTTCTAGCCTAAAATTGGATGAATGACGGCGAACGAAAGGAATGGAGGGAGGGGAGGGATCGAGGGGAATTTCATCCTTCTCGAAAGGGTGTCGAGAAAAACATGTTGTTAAAGAGTGGAAAGCACGACGCAATAGGGGAAGAGAGGCAAATAACTATCGCGGTTATGGTACGAAGGGATAGCTTAGGCGAAAGAGGTATTATTGCACATGCACGTATATATGTATATATATATACACCGCATATGCCTTTCTTCTATTTTCTTTCTATCGTTTTATAACTCTCGTCGCGTGGGCGTATTACAGGCCAGTAAACAATATTTTAACTTGACAAAATAACGAGGCTGCGACAACATATGCCGCGTATAATGCAACGCGGGATGCGTGCCGGTCGCAGCTGACTCTTTGCCGAGTCGTGAAATGATGGCACGATAAATTATGCGTTTTCGGCGAGGGTTTGCACGATGGTAATTAATATTGAATGCGGCGAATCGATATGATTCGACGAACCAACTAATATAATACGAGATTGTCGGTCAAGATGTTCGATAGGCGATTCGTGTTTTATACGTGTTTCACCTGTACTCCGTTTCTTGGAAACGCACGTTTCTTCTGGGGGAGGGGGGGGGGAGAAAAAATGCAGAGGAAGATATAACGTGGAATTGTGCAAGATAAGATTATTAAACTGTTGTGTTCAATGAACTTTTAAATACAAACGAGATGAAACATCGATAGAAACCGATATTCCTGGAATCGATAAGACGATAGAGAGAGAGAGAGAGAGAGAGAGAGAGAGAGAGAGAGAGAGAGAGAGAGATAAATTATAGAAGTATCGCGTCGGGTCGTTCGATCATCCCGATTCTTCAAGTGGAAAAGAAAACCTCGCGAACTTTTTGCGTTAGCCTTCGCCTGCGTAGATATAAGTATATATCTATCTGTTCGAGCGGTAACCTGTGTGTGTGCGCGCGTGAGTGCGTTTATATGTGATTTCAGTAGAGGCCTATTGATCGAGCAGCGAACTTCACTGGTCCGCACACGCGCATAAGTCTGTCCGTAAACAAGACAAATATCATCGCGCCAGTACTGAAAATCTATCCACCCACCCACTCTTCTCTTTTCTTTAAACATCTAGCACGCTTCGTCTCGCCACTTCGACCTCCTTCGTACCGATTGACGTGCAATTGCATTACGTTCACATGTACAGCTAAACGGGTTGCATTCTATTTTACAGATCGAGATAATAGAAAATAGTTTGTAAAAAACGATAAGTAATTTCAACTAAACAAATTATTTTATCAAAAAAAAAAAAAAAAAAAAATCATCGATATTTATATCGCGATAGACATGACCGCGAATTTAAAATTTAATTTCTTTCCTTTATCAAACGAGAGAATTGAAATATATCAGCTCGGTTTTAAATTGTTGTAAAAGATAGTTAATAAATATCAGAAATTTGAAGGAACGAGAAATCAAATTCCAAAACAGTTTCATTAATAAAAAGCTTGGAAAAGTTTTTTTAAAGAAGGGTAAAAACGCGATCGAGTTACATTAATCGAATGACGAGCTATATTCGTACCTGAAATGAGTATGTAAAAGGTGCGATTCACATAAAGGTGGGGATTGCGGAAAGTTGGATCTGCGCAATGCGTGTCGTCAGATGAACCACGTGGAGTATTCGCATGCAAAAGACGTCGGCGGATATCGGGCGGTCTCTTAGTCTTCTTCGAATGGGCAACGGTGTAGCGTCGTTTTAGATATTCCATCTTTCCGACTTACTGGGTTTTTTTTTTTTTCTTTTTCTTTTTTAATCATTATTCATCGTTCAATCACAGTGGAGTGATTATACGCGTCACTGCAATTATTTATATTATTCAATGGAGGAAAATATCGAAGGTCGAACGTAAGAATGTGCACAAGAACGATCAATTGCACATACTGTTGCACACACGCGAACATTATTTTTCCGTATGTATTAAACGACGGAATTGAAGGAATGTTTATTTTTCATTTTTAACGATGCTTTTTAATAGTAGATAAGAGATCGACAATAGTGATTGGAAAAAAATTTATTACACGGTGATCATTTGATCATTCGAGATATACTTGATTTCAAGGAAGTTCGTGTTATTTTTTTTTTTTTTTTTTTTTNTTTTTTTTTTTTTTTTTTTTTTTTTTTTAACTTAACACTTACCGTAATCAGTAGCATCAATTTGCCCACGTGAAAGAATTGAAAATGATGTTGACGATTGGCTGGTTCCTCCTTGTTGTTATCCATTTGTTGATTATAATGACGATGAATCCTTTTTTTTATTAAATGAGGCACGAGCTCGCGACTGATAACGGCGACGATAACGACGATAACATCACTTTATTCACTGCGCACTGAAACACGAGAAAAACAATAGGAAACATCTAAAATGATGCCTCGTTTGTCGCGAGATCGGAATCCGAAATTAAAAAATTTTCTCAAAATTGGAGGGAGGGGGGAAAAAAATAACGAAAAAGTTAGCGAAGAAGAATCGTAAGAAATCGACGATTGCCTACGGGTCTCTCTACTTACTATTGTTTTGGCCATCGTGCCACGATGGCGGCCATACTTGATATGAGAAAGTATCCCCCACATTGTCCACGGCCATCTACTAATTCCCCCATACACCCCCGCGCTGATTCAACCCCCCATCCCCGCTACCGTCCCCATACCCTAGCTTCTAGTCCCCCCAGCGAACTCACCCCTTACTCCCTGCCACCCTCTTTCAAAGTCAGGGGCGACGTCTTCCTAAACTCCGTTGGTTCCTTACGTTTTTCTTCAACTTCCCGACTTCTTTACCTCGAGAAAATTTAGATAATATCAAACGTTTCTCCATTTCATTTTTATTTATTCCGCGTGTCCGTATAATTTATTCACGCAACAAACTTGATACAAAGTTAATAATTAGAAATGGATTTATATATTCGTACA